GTTCATGCAAGTCTTTCTAGATTTTTCTGGGAGCATCCTGTTTATCATTTCTTAGAATACAATAGTATTCCATCATAATCACATACCACAACTTGTTCAGCCATTCCCCAATTGATGGGCATTCCCTCAACTTCTAATTCTTTATCCCCAGAAGAAAGCTGCTATAAATGTTTTTGTACTTACAGGTCCTTTTCCTTTTTGTTTTTTATCTCTTTGGGGATATAAACCTGGGACACGTATAGGTCCTTTTCCTTTTTTTTTTTTTTTTATCTATTTTGAGATTCAATACCTAGTAGGTATTGCTAGGTCAAAGAGTATGTATGAATGTTTTTATAGCCCTTTGGGCATATGAACTCATGTCTTCTTAACTGCAGTCCCAGTCATCTAGCTGCACAAAGGAGAATAGAAGGAAAACCAGAAAGAAACGGTGACAGGTAGGACCACTTTGAAAGTTGCAAGTTCAATTTGTTATATTCTTAAAAGGAAAAGTAAGCTGTATATAATAAAGGTTCATAGTTTTATGTACAATCCTCTTTTTCTATTCTATTTTGCATATGAAAATGTTCAATTTATTTTATATAAGTTGAATTCAGAATAAAAAACAATCTATTAATCAAAATGCAGGCACTGTGCTAAGTAACAGTTTTTTTTTTAATATTGGAATAACTTCAGAATCGATTGCCTCTGTGCAGGCAGACCATAAACTAGTTTAAAAAATATGTTAAATTTAAACTTAAATTACAAGAAAGGATAATCACAAAATATGAGGGTTTTAATGGACCCCAAAGTCCAAATAGCACATCAGAAATCTCTTCTACTAGGAGCACCATAAAGAGTTCTGCTTGAAGTCCTATAGTTAGTTTACTACACGTGAGAGGTAGGTAGCCTGTTCTACTTTTATACAGTTCGAATTTCTGAGGGAGATGCTGAACAATAGTCACCAGAGTGCCCCCCAACCCCCCGTAAAATTAAATCTTTTATTTTTAGTGTCTAGGGTTGAATTACAGATCATTAGCTCAGAAAACTATCTGATTTAAAGTTAGAAATTCCAAAGGTCCTCTTTTGCTTAGCATGCAAAATAATTTGATCCAGAACAAAAACTATAGGAAGAAGGCCAGGTCATTTTTTTTCTGCTCTCAGGACCTATGCTCTATAAATGCTACAACATCTTCCTCCTCCCTTCAGCTCTATACTTTGGCCAATGAAAAATCTCACGATCCTACTTGTGCTTCAAGCAAAAAGTTATCATCATACAATAGATTCTGTGGATGTTTGATGGTCTCTACAACTTGTTAAGTTGGATGAAGATCCCAGAGGACTAGGAAGACAGGAAAAGTAGTTTTTCCTCTATGATGTTGTCATTGTTTAAATTGCCTCAGACTGACATAGGGACTGTCATCTGAGCAAGGCTTCAATTGTTTCTGCTAACGACCCAGTCTGCTTTTGCTTCAGTGACAGGAAATGATGACATGGTGGACAAAAAAAAAATGGAGATAACAAGCATTTGAGTAAGGGTAACAGTCATCTGATTAGTGTTTATTAAGCTCCTATCATGTGCCAAGTGCTGAATTAAATATGGTAGCACAAAATAGCAATTAACATTACAAGGCTACACCAGTAATGAAGAGCACAGCTGGGATTTGAACCCAGGTGCTCTGACTTCCAATCTACTGCTCTTCCAGTCTTTTCCCTGTACCATGTGTACAATGTCCACAGGTATCTTTGTGAAAAGATTGAGGTTTTTTCCTAATATTTTGTTCGTCTAAATAAATGGTGTCTGAGTACTGTTCCTTAACACGTACTAGCTGATAGACTCTGGGCAAGTCACTCTCTCTAAACCTGCATCCTAAGATTGTTGTGAGGAAAGGGTTTTATAAACTTTCAAGTGCTATATAAATGTATATTATTATCTTCACCCTATAACAGTGTAATTATTACCTGGGGTAGCCAAGATCCAGATCAGGGAGATGATTGACTATATTAGGTCTACCACAATTTGGATAAGGAACAACATAAATGGGAATGAAAGAAATTGTCTTTTAGTCCTCACAACTACCACTTTGGTTCTATTTGTATGTTATTAGTATTATTAATGTCTTTTATTCTCTTAGTGCCAACTATTGACTATAGATTTTTACTTTGTTGCCATTTGCCCTGAATGATTTTATAGGGTCATAGAATTTAGACTAGAAAGGACCTTAGGGTTTAAAACCTTATTACTTGTCTAAGATTCTGTTATTTTGTTATTGTCATTCATAGGTATAAAGTTCTGTGGCTTCAAATCTTCTAAAAACTCCTGCCTCAGGTTACTAAGAAAATGGATTATTCTCTGGGCTGATCCAACCCTAGCCATGGCCAAGCCAATTAGAAATGCTCTTGCACCATTGATCAAGAAAATACAAGGTTGATGTTCCAGATGCATTATGGAGATTTGAGGATTAGAAAGCACATTATAAGGGTTATTTCTTTAGTTCAATAACAAACCAAAAAGAAAATTTAAGGCTTTCATACTGACCTGGTCTCACAAGTTCATTTTCAAAGTATAAAAAGACAATTTAATAAATCAGTAAATATTTATCATGTACCTACTATGTGCCAAGCACAATATAAATACAAAAGTGAGGCAGTAGCTGCCAAGATAAAGAATTTGCATTTTAATGGTTGAGTTCACATGCAATCATCTCTTAATCTCATCAAAACACCAGGCTGCTGGTCTTTACTGGGCTCAAGTCTACAAAGTGAGGCTAACTTCTTTATCAAAATTCCCAGGCAAATCCCATGAATTTTAACAGACACATGTTGGTTCATACAGTTAAGATTTTTAGCTATCGTCAAGGCAAGCCACAATCTTTCTGTGAATGTCAGAAATGGAAACTACTAGCTATATAAAGCAGTTGATCGCATTCTACATTTGGAGCTCTTTATGATCTCTTTTATTCGTTGATATAAATGTCAGCATAAGGGTAAGCCGAACATAAATCAAGCAAATGATTGCTAAAAGTCACTATGTTCTAAACATGAGGTAAAAAAATGGAACGAGTAGCACACTGGAAACCTTGCACCCAGTAGTTCACATCTTACAGCAACATTTGTAAGCAGAATGATCTTGGACCAGTTACTTTAAAACCCAGCTCTGCCTCTCTACCTACAAATACAAAATCAGATAGCCTAGTTAAGTGCTGGATGAATGTTAGAGCTTGGCAATTAGCAAAAGACTAAGAAGCACCCAGCTCTATAAACAAAAACAATTCTATATTGCAGAATTAAGTGTAGGCCATGATTCTGCTGAGTAAACTATCACAGTTGATAAATGTGTATTTGTTGGTCACAGAATGCCTAATGAGCATTTTAGAGATTAGACACATAGTTGGGATTAAATCCAGAACCTCCCCAAGGAAGATTAACTAGAGAAACACAGATTAATGGTACATGTGAATATAATTTATATATTAATGAAATATTAAACTAAAACTGAGTTGGAACTAGAATCTACTCAATTATCTAGGTTAATGAAGGTAAACAGTGACAAAGATAACCTAAATAATAAGTAATCCAAAAATCCTTTTGGATTGGCTCTGGAGCACATTACAGGAAAACTTTCAGCAGCTTTCTCTTTCTAATTATGTTTTGATGAGGTTAATGCAAAAAATTGTTTTGCATTCCCTGAGCATACACAAGCTAACAAGCAGGGTGGTCCAGAAACACAATGGGTGGCCAACCTGGCATCCACATTTTTTTGTAGGTAACCCACAAGGTGGATAATCCACATATGGATAATTAAAAGCTGACTATATTGAGGTTTGTGAGCTGGTGAAATGGTTTCCTGTAAACTAGGAAAGGTCTTCTTGAAGGAAGCTGATTTTGTGTCAAAAGGAAAGTAAGAGGCATGCTTTGGGAATTAAACCTGTATATGGGAACAGCCAGGATATGGATATAAAATAATAATAATAACATTTACATAGCACTTTAAGGTTTGCAAAACACTTAAATCATTTGATCCTCACAACAATCCTGGGAGGTAGATGTTATTGTTATCCCCATTTTCCAGGTAAGGAAACTGAGGTAGACAGAGGTGAAGTGACTTTCCTGGGGTCACACAGATTGCAAGTCTCTAAGGCTGGATTTGAACTCAGCTATCCTTGACCCTCAGGTCCAGAAGTCTGTCCACTACATCTACCTAACTGCCTACTATATGGATATATATATATATATCCTAAGCAGAATTGAAGATTGGTGGCTTTTTGTGGTTCCAAGAACATAATTGAAAAAAAAAATTTGCCAGGTGTGGACTATACAACCATGAGCCCGAAAAGTTATGGGATGGCTGTGAAGATGCATTCCCTCGAAGAATGAGCTAATTCTTTCTTCCCCAGGATATATATATATTTCTTTCCCATGACATATATAGATATATATATATGTGTGTGTATATATGTGTGTGAATGTATGTATATATATATGCGTATATATCACAGGGAAGAAATATATATGTATATATACAAATGCATATATATATAATATATATGTATAAATCAGCAGCAGCATTGAATGCTAATACAACAATATGATGCATGGTGCTGGCTACTTTAAGATATCACCTATTCTTTGAATAGGTGCAAAATTCATCAATATATATTATTAATAGAATTCATCATTATTGTAAATCAAATGATATACTGAAAGAAGACAAGGACAAGGCAATGAAAATCTTTTCTTTTAATATTATCTGGTTATGTGGCCCTGGACAAGCATTTAATCTTTCAGCACCCCAATCAACTCTAAAACTCATTTTTAGAATAGGTGGTTGCGTTGCATTGGTAATGGGAATTTCTTCACCAGGATTTCTCTATATCAATGAAATCACAGATGTGGCCAAAAAAAACCCTACTCCAGTGTTCTTCTCATCATTAGTAAAGTAAAAGATATGACTGAGTAGTGCTATACAGTAAACTCAGAAATATTTTTATAATACATTTGCATTGATATATTTTTACTTGTACCTTGTATCTTTTCTCCCAGTACCTTCCTCTTCACTCCTCCCAAGGAACCATCCTATATAACAAACAATTAAACCAAAATATTAGAGAATTCTTAATTTGACTATTTTACAATAGCTCTCATGAAGGAATTTTAGGGGAGGATATTTGGGGATGACAGCTGGGGATAAGGTACTAAGTCCAAGGGACTGGATTAAGTGCTTTCTATTCTCTGATCATTTAACTATGAAATCCTATAACCACAAATAGCAGGCAACTTGTGAAGCTGAATAGACTCAGCTTTCCAAAAAACTTCAGGAAAGAATAAATATGAGCTTTTAGGTGGCCATGGATAAGAGTGCTGGACTTGGAGTCAGTAAGATATGAGTTCAAATCCTGCCTCAGACACCAGCTCCACGGGGCAAGTCACTTCATCACTCTTAATTTTAGTTTCCTCCTCTGTAAAGCAGGGGTAATAAAAGCACCTATTTCACAGGATTATTGTGAAGATTAAATGAGACAACATAGGTAAAGTGCTTTGCAAACCTTTTTTGTTCTTTCATTTCAGTCTTGTTTGACTCTTTGTGACCTGATTTGGGGTTTTCTTGGCAAAGATTCTGGAGTAGTTTGTCATTTCCTTCTCCAGTTCATTTTACAGAAAAGGAAACTGAGGCAAAAAGGGTTAAGTGACATGCTCAGGATCACACAGCTAATAAGTGTCTGAGTCTAGATTTGAACTTCCTGACCCCCAACCTTGCTATGTACTCTATCAACTGGGCCACCTAGTTGCCCAAATCTTAAAGTGCTGTATAAATCCTAGCCATCATAACTGAATATTGACTTCATGAATCAGCAAATTCTGTGTCTGCTAAAAAGATCAGAGGATTCTTTAGAGGGTCATGGTGTTGCTTGGACAACATCTCTGGACTTGGTTATTGTTTAATAACAATCGTACTTTCATATTCCAGCCACAATATGAATGGTAAAAATCTTATAATTGTAAAATAGAAGATTATAGGTTGAGGTCTGAAATGATGAGGTTTTCAAGGATATTCATGGTTCAGCATTTACTTTCAACAGTGAAAATAAAAGCACCCTCACCACAGCCCATCTTGGAGTACCACCTTTTGTCACAGTCTACACTGAGAGGTGTTGTCAGCTACTCATTCAGGAACCACAAGGTGGTGCTGTTGGACTTAAGGTAAACTGTGACAAGAGACCACCTGGGTGAGCTCCAAGTCTGATCAGAAATAATTAGGACTATGTGCCAAAGGCAGCAATATGTTTGTAGTCTGCAGGTGTTTGCAGCATGGGCATCATCTCAAGAACAAAATGCTAAAGAAGACTGAACAGCTTTTTGTCCTTGCTGAAGGCTTCACAGGAAGCTCACATTAGCAGAATGGGACCGAATTCACTTGTTTTGTCATTGAATTTGTAAAAAAAAAAAATACAGTTTGTGGGTCCTTGGCAATATCAGGTTGCTTTCTAGTTCAGCTCCCTGTATTCAGATAACTCTGCACAATCTCAATTCTGGCTGTAAGCTTCCTAGGGAGGGAGATCCTGCCTTCTGTCTTGATTCTCCATTCCAGTGTTTGTTCAACAGTCCCCCTTGTCAAGAAATTCTCCTCCATGTTACACCTAAGTTTTCTAAGTGGTAATGGCACGAGCTCATTTTCTCTCTATGCAGTGGAGATAAGGAAAAGCAATCTTCCTTCAAGGGCCAGCTCACAGACTACTTCCCTGGCAAAGCCTTTCCTGATCTTCTTTGTTGATAGTACTCCTTCATATATTACACATCATATACATATACATATATATATACACACACACATATATACACACATACATGTGTGTAGGTATGTTTGTGTACATACATACATACATATGTAAATGAGATTACAGGCAGCTAGGCGGCACAGTGGATTGAGTGCTGGGCCTGGAGTCAGGAAGACTCATCTTCCTAAATTCAAATCTGGCTTCAGACATTAACTAGCCATGTAACCTTGGGCGTGTCACTTAACCCTGTTTGTCTTAGTTTCCTCATCTGTAAAATGAGCAGATAAAGGACCTGGCAAACCATTCAATATCTTTGCCAAGAAAACCCCCAATGAGGTCACTATGAGTCAGACACAACTAAATAACAACAGCATATAAGATTATATATCATCAACGTAGATGGTATCATACATATAAGATTATCTTAGGAAGGAGGAAGTATATTAGCATCTGTCTATTTCTGTTTACCTGTCCGCAGACTACATCTACCAGTAGGATATAAGTTCCTTAACGGCAAGAACCTTCAGCTGGTTTGTCTTGTCTCCAGCATCTTTCCTAGTGCCTTGTACACGTACTTAATAAACATTAGTTCACAAGGGAGGAAGAGCCAAGAAGGTAGAGTAAAGGCAGGGGCTCACCTGAACTCTCCCCTAAACCCTTCCAAATAGCTTTAAATAATGACTCTGAACAAATTCTAGAGTGGCAGAACCCATGAAAAGACAAAGTGAAACAATTTTCCAGCATAAGACAACTTAGAAGATCACCAGGAAAGGTCTGTTGCACCAGGGTAAGAGAAGAGTGCAATTTGGTACAGGCTGCACCAGGGCAGACCTGGCCTTGGACAATTGAATCAGCGGCAGCAGCTTCTTTCAAACCTCTCAGCTCACAGATGGCAAGGGGGTCAAATAACTGGTCAGAAGGAGATTACAGGGGTGTCTTTGCTAGCACTGAGGCAAGACTGTTGTTTTTCCTATACTAAGATCTGGGTCACAGACCTGGGTGGCAGTCCCAGGGAGAGGAGGAGCATTAGTGCACCAGAGCTTGTAGCCGCAGTGAAGTAAGGACCCTCCTCACAGTTTCAGGGCAGAAAAGAGTGTATGCGGTCACTCACAGACCAGAGCACAGTAAACACCTCTCCTTAGATCATACCACTTTGGAAGAACTGAAAACTTACAGATCCCTAGAAGTGTCTCTGAAAACAGGTGCACAAAATCCCTGAAGCTTGGGACAGTGAGCCCTCCACCTTGAAAGCACTTTAACAAAGAGTTAAAAGTCAAGTTATAGGTTGGAAATATGAGCAAACAATAGAAAAAAAATTCTGACCATAGAAAGTTATTATAGTGACAAGGAAAACCAAAACACATACTCAGAAAACAACAAAGTCAAAGCTCCTACATTCAGAGCCTCCAAGAAAAATATGAATTGGTCTCAGGCCATGGAAGAACACAAAAAAAGATTCCTAAAATCAAGTAAGAGAGGTAGAGGAAAAATTGTGAAGAGAAATGAGAGTGATGCAAGAAAATCATGAAAAATGAGTCAACAATTTAGTAAAGGAGACATAAAAATTACTGAAGAAAATAACACCTTAAAAACAGACTAGGCCAAATGGCAAAAGAGATCCAAAAAGCTAATGAGGAAAAAAATGCCTTAAAAAGCAGAATTGGCCAAATGGAAAAAGAGGCACAAAAGTTCACTGAAGAAAAAAACTCCTTAAAAAGTAGAATTGGCCAAATGCAAAAGGAGGTTCAAAAACTGATGGGAGAAAATAATACCTTGGGGCAGCTGGGTGGCTCAGTGGATGGAGCACCAGCCCTAGAGTCAGGAGGACCTGAGTTCAAATCTGGCCTCAGACACTTACTGTGTGACCCTGGGAAAGTCACTTAACCCTAATTGCCTTAAAAATAAAAGAAAAGAATATCTTAAAAATTAGAATGAAGCAAATGGAAGCTAATGACTTTATGAAAAATCAGGAAACAATAAAACAAAACAAAAAGAATGAAAAAATAGATGATGTGAAATATCTCATTGGAAAACCAACTGACCTGGAAAATACATCCAGGAGAGATAATTTTAAAATTATTGGGTTACCTGAAAGCCATGATCAAAAAAAAAGAGCCTAGATAGTATCTTTCAAGAAATTATCTAGGAAAACTCTCCTGATATTCTAGTACCAGAGGGCAAAATAGAAATTGAAAGAATCCACCTATCACCTCCTAAAAGAGATCCCAAAATGAAAGCTTCCATGAATATTATAGCCAAATCCCAGAGCTCCCAGGTCAAAGAGAAAATATTGCAAGCAGCTGGAAAGAAATAATTCAAGTATCGTGGAGCACAATTGAGATAACACAAGATTTAGCAGTTTCTATATTAAAACATTGGAGGGCTTGTAATATGATATTCCAGAGAGCAAAGGAGCTAGGATTACAAGCAAAAATCACCTACCTAGCAAAACTGAGTATAATCCTTCAGGGAAAAAAAAATGGACATTCAATGAGATAGAGGACTTTCAAGCATTCTTGGTGAAAAGACCAAAGCTGAATAGAAAATTTGACTTTCAAACACAAGACTCAAGAGAAGCACAAAAAGATAAACAGGAAAGGGAAATCATAAGGGATTTAATAAGGTTAAACTGTTTACATTCCTACATAGAAAGATAATACTTGTAACTCATAACTTTTTCATTATTAGGGCAGATAGAAGGAGCATATATTGACAGAGGGCACAGGTGTGAGTTGAATATGAAGGGATGATATCTAAAAAATAAAAATAAGGGGTGAGAGAGGAATGTACTGGGAGAAAGGGAAAGGGAAGGATAGAATGGGATAAATTATCTCACATAAAAGAGGCAAGAAAAAGTTTTTACAATGCAGGGGAAGAGGGATAAGGTGAAGGGGAGTGAGGGAACCTTACTCTCATCAGAACTGGCTCAAGGAGGAAATGACACGTACACTCAATAGTGTATAGAAATCCATCTTACCCTACAGGAAAATAGAAGGAGAAGGGGAAAAGAAAAGGGGTGGGGGAGAGGGGATAGAAGGGAGGACAGATTGGGGGGAGGGGGTTGTCAGAAGCAAAATACTTTTGAGGAGGGACAGGGTGAAAGGAGAGAGACAATAAAATAAATGGGTGGGGGAAAGAGTATGGAGGGGAATACAGTTAGCAGTAGAAAGTGTTAAAAAAAATTGAAGCAAGTTTCTCTGATAAAGGCCTCATTTCTCAATCATATAGAGAACTGTGTCAAATTTATAAAAATAAGAGCCCTTCTCCAGTTCATAAATGATCAAAAGATATGAACAGTTT